AGAGAGAGAGAGAGAGAGAGAGACGTTTTCAACGGAAACTTTTTCACGCTCGTGCAACCTACGTTCCCCTCCCCTGGTTGATATTCATCCGCCGCTATTTCTTTCTGCAACAGCATCGAATTCCACTTAGAAACAGGTGAGCTAGCAGAAGCGAAAAAAACAAGTCCCGAGCGACGAGGGAGGAGACAAGTTGAACAGAGTTCGCCGTTTCTCTCGCGAGTGCCACGCAGCCAGTTTTCCATTTATCGCCGGGGAGTTTAAGCGAGCCGAGTTTCTCTTGAAGCCAAGTTGCGTCAACGTGACGAGAGGCCGGGAGAGCACGGGAGCGAGATAATCCGCTCCGTGGATTATTCCGATGGATGAATCGACGAGGACGCGACTTGCAGGAGAGGAGGAAGCAACAGCTAGCGGAAAGTTTCTAGACTTTTTTAGTTCGATCGGGGGAATAATATCGCGAAACATTGTTCCTCCCTTCGTTGCGTTGAAGTTCCTCCTCCTGGAGAGTCCATCGAACACGGAAGGAGGGGGGAGGATCCGAAGTAATAACCCGATCGATCAAGGAGACGAAGACAATACTGTGGAAATCAAATACCATCTCCAACGATCTGCCCGTATTTATTTCCTTCGAAGAGAGGTGCCGGAGGCGTTTGCTTCCGTGAGAAACTCGCAAGTTTTCTGCTTTCGCTGGTTAAACATCGCGCCGTAGAAAGAAGGAAAAGAAAGAAGGAGACAACGTTGAAAAGGAAATGCGCAGAGACAAGTTCCATCGTGGAGGAAGAGATCTGGCGAGATCGAACGGTTGGAAAGGAATCGTCGCGGTGATGATGATCTTCTGATTAATTATGCACGCTCCGGTTGACGGGGACGCATCGATGCAAAGTGGCCACGTAATTTGCGGCTTCCGGTTGAAAGCTTAAATGCCAATTAGTCTCTGGTCACTCTCGAATCGTCTGTCAAGGAGAATCAGGACTCATCGTGCCCGTCACCGATTAATCAGCTTCTTTCTATCGGGCCGCAGACTCTCGAGCAATTCACGTTAAAAATTTCACGTCGATCTCTGCTGGCGTGACACTCCTCGACGATCGAACATTTTCCTCACCGTGTGATGCACGCTTTTTCTTTTTGATAGTCGACGAAATTTTGTAACACTTTTTCAATTGTGAGTTGTTTAGAGCGGAAAATGGAAGATTTTTTTCGTTTGGTAATTTCTTTTTAGACCATGATGTTTTACGGTCCAATGAAACGAATAAACAGCTGAGCAGTTGAGCAAACAGAGAAGTACGTGTTACGTACTTTCGTTACGCGCGATCGAATCGATTTCAGCGGGTGTGAACTTCCCTGCCGCGGCTGGGCGCCCATTTCGTTTGCCGAAATTTTGATTTCGCCACCGTTTCGCTTGCGCGCCCATTAACCCAAAAAAGTTAGCCCTCAAAGCTCGCTTCGGCTCGACTCGATTCTGAATTAACCTTTGAGCCTAGTGAACACGGGAATTATCGACCGGCACAATACTCGCAATCGACGAGATGCCCCGGCCATAAAGCCACCGGTAGTATCTCGCCGCGCTGTAAACAAGCGCGAGGGATGGTCGGTTGGTTTTCGCCCGTGCAAAACCGAAACTCGCACGTACATACAGATTCCGATCTGGCCATTCGGATTCCAATTTCGTCGGCTTATTCAGCCAGGCCAGGAGAAATAAAGATTCCGACTGCTCGGAACAATCGGAATTCACCTCCCCTCCCTCCCCCATTTTTTTTCCTCGCCTCGCGGTGCACCCGCGATCGATAAACTGGGAGGAAGTCAGTCCGGGACAAACCGGATGTGTACGTGCACACGCATTAGCTGATGAGAGTAACGCGCTTATCGCGGGCTTATCGCGCGCGGAGCCGGCGAAACTGGCGAAGCCGCTGAAAGAACCAAATCGATCGAAAGAGGTTGGTTACGAGATGGCGTTAACGATTCTTCGGGATTGGAGCGCAGGATATTCGCCACTGTGAAATATGTATTGCTTTGGCTAAAAAGTAACTGCGTTTCTTTTATTGTTGTTCTTGTTGTTGTGCAAATGAGGGGCGAATTTTGAAGACGAGAAACAAAAACTTTGTCAGGTTTATTTTTTATTGTTGTTTAATGTTGACCGCGAATTTTAACAAATACTTTTATCAAGTTTATTTGTTATTTATTGTTGTTGTTGTTGTGCAAATGAGGGGCGAATTTTGAAGACGAGAAACTTTGTTAGGTTTATTTATTATTGTTTACTGTTGACCGCGAATTTTAACAAATACTTTTATCAAGTTTATTTGTTTTTTATTTTTATATCGATTGCCACACTTTTCTTCGATCTTTCCTTCGTGATTCCGCGTTCGAAAAACGTTTTCATCTTTCTCGATAGAAAAAAAAACGATTCGATATCCCCGTCACAAGTGAAATTTAGCAAACCGAGTCTGACCTTCTCGCCATACATC